GTTGTTCTTCTTCTTCATCTTCTTCTTCTTCTTCTTCTTCTTCTTCTTCTTCTTCTTCTTCTTCTTCTTCTTCTTCTTCTTCTTCTTCTTCTTCTTCTTCTTCTTCTTCTTCGCCTTTAAAAATGAAATTGACACGGTGTGTTGTGGTTTTCAATATCCGTATCTTTCAGCCCTAACCATTCGATTTCATTAAAACTTTATTCGTAAGCAAATTGATCAAGCCGTTTGTTTCGCGCTTTTAACGTCGTGGATTCTTTTCACAGAGGTGTCGTTCGGTTTACCAGTTCAATTTTTACGCAGATCCATTAGGATAGTCGCTGGAACTACGAAGTTCGTGCTTTGTGCGACGCCTTCGGCAGGCGGCTAGTCGTTCTGCGGAAAGAATCCAAGCTACATGAAGTAACGCAGGACACTGAGGTCGAACCTCTATGTTTTCAGCTTGCTTCATTATCACTGTATCCATGGCCAAATTCAGTCAACGGGGATACCTACCACAGGTTACAGTTATTCGAAGTTAGTGTAACAAGATACAAACTGCTGTCACACTGTAGGGTTTTACAGCAACAGGAGAAAACGAGCCTGCACCCTGACATTTAGGGAACGTGTCAACGTATTGATTATGGTCTGACACCCCTGACGGCCAGATTGTAGAGAAGATAGTACTGAGAGTCTGATCATACTGAAGATTGTAGAAATAGTCTGAATTTACAGAAAATTGTACTGACATCTGAACTTACAGAAGATTGCACTGACAGTATGATCCTACTGAAGATTGGAGAAATAGTCTTATCATACAGAATGTTTTACTGACGGTTTGATCACAATGAATATTTCAGAAACAGTCCGACTATATAGAAGATTTACCGACAGTCTGATCATACAGAAAATTTTAGAAACAGTTTAATCTTACAGAAGGTTGTATTAACATCTGAACTTGCAGAAGATTGTACTGACTGATCACACTGAAGAATGTAGAAACAGTCCGATCATACAGAAGATTCTACTGACGGTCTGATCATACTAAGGATTTTGCTGAGAGTCCAATCATACAGAAAATTTTAGAAGCAGTTTGATCATACAGAAGATTGTACTGACGGTCTGATCATACTGAAGATTGTACTGACAGTCTGGTCATACAGAAGATTGTACTGACAGTCTGATCATAGAGAAGATTGTACAGAGAGTCTGATTAAACTGAAGATTGTACTGACAGTCTGATCATACTGAAGATTGTACTGACAGTCTGCTCATACAGAAGATTGTACTGACAGTCTGATCATACTGAAGATTGTACTCATAGTCTGATCATGCTGAAGATTGTACTGACAGTCTGATCATACTGAAGATTGTACTGACAGTCTGGTCATACAGAAGATTGTACTGACAGTCTGATCATACTGAAGATTGTACAGAGAGTCTGATTAAACTGAAGATTGTACTGATAGTCTGATCATACTAAAGATTGTACTGACAGTCTGATCATACAGAAGATTGTACTGACAGTCTCATCATAATGAAGATTGTACAGAGAGTCTGATTAAACTGAAGATTGTACTGAGAGTCTGATCATATAGAAGATTGTACTGACAGTTTGATCATACTGAAGATTGTACTGACAGTCTGATCATACTGAAGATTGTAGAAACAGTCTGATCATACAGAAGATTGTCTGAGAGTCTGATCATACAAAAAAATTGTACTGATAGTCTGATCATACAGAAGATTGTACTGAGTATGATTATACTGAAGATTGTAGAAACAGTCCGATCATACAGAAGATTTTACTGAGAGTCTGATCATACAAAAAAGTGTACTGATTGTCTGATTATATAGAAACTATGGAAGATTGGATTATTTTTTTCATGAATGTTTGGTTAACTATCAACAGTTACTTTCTCTAATAGATGTTTAACAGATACCATGACTGTTTCAGGATAGCTCTACTGATTTACCTGTTGAAGAATTCTTCCAACAACTTTGCCAACCACATTTTCGAGTGGTCTAGATCTGGATGCAATGATAAGATCAAGAGCTAACATGGACCTGGCTATGGCTTACCAACTGAATGGAGTCTTTTTTTTTTATGTCCTTAAATTGTGACTGGCCTAGAATGATGGTAGGGATTATTTTACTACTGGAAGAGATACTATCAACTGTAACTGCACTGACCTAAATTTACAAGAAACTGGTATTAAGTAGAGGAGAACTATGCAAATTATGTACAAAAGATGTAAGAGAATTCTCTGGGACCTCCACCTGCAAAACCTATACCCAGGTTTTTTTCTGTAGTTTATACTTAACATTGACACTGCAGGGTACAATAGGACAGGGGGGAGATGCTATAGATCTCTTCTGACCCATCACAAATCTCCTCAAACCTCTGTTAGTTGTTTTCATGATGTGCTTGTTAAAGGGCAGTGGGTCTATTCTTTTCCCCCTAAAAACTGGGTCACAGAACCCACATGGAGAAATGTGGTTTCCATCAGTCAACCACATACTAACAATTTCTTGGTGTCATTTTCTCATATGAACTGGTTATTCAATAAATGGCAGACATACCAACACAGATAAAACATCGGGGAGCAGAGCCCTCAAGGAAGCTAAGCCTAGTTTAGGAGCATTATAATAATAACACTGTACTGAATGGTAAATAAATATACTATTACGTTTAAAACAATCTGAAATAAATAGACAGACACTTTTTAAAGACCATTCTATACATGGCTAAAGGGGACTATTTAACCTCACTACAAAATTATTATGGGGGAGGGGGGGGGGAAGCCTGTGACTCAAGTGGCCTGGAAACCCTGTTCCGAAGCCCCTGATAACAGGGCTAGTACACACCATAGATTAGGTGGTTTGAGAGATGCAAGTGACCAAATTTATTAACATACTGTCTTCATTTATTCATTCAGTCTGTGCCCATTGGTCACTCTGCATATTAACAAAGCAATCAGTCAATCAGGCTACCACTCTGTCCGTGTTCAGCCGCTGGGGCAGTTGCTTTATCAGCAAATAACTAAACACAAAACAGGCGACAACTCAGTGGACAGAAAGGAAGAGGCATACACTGCAGGCACTCTGATTAATATTACCACTTTGTCAGAATGAATGAATGAATGAATGAATGAATGAATGAATGAATGAAGAGCTGAATGAACAAATCAAGAACTGAAATCACTGTACTTGTCCTTCCTCAGTAGCTGATAAAGAGAGGATATGCTAACAGTGCTACAATGTTTCCCTTGAAATTATGATCCAACTCCAAAATAAGCTATATCATGATTTTTCAGGATGCTTTTAATATAAGCCCTACCCCAAAAACAAACCCTAGTTAAAATCTTCAGCTAGAATGACAGACTTGCTGAATGGCCAGTCAGAGTACACATGCCACTGGCAAATTCTTAATAATGATCAGATTCAAATTTCAAGGACCATTTCTGCACAGAAATTAATGACTGCACTGAAAACAGAATGGTCAGAAATCAGCATAGATACTTTGTGAGGCCTAGTTTGCAGGTGGTGTCAATGGGCGATGAATTTACGGGACAAAATCACTGACAGTTGTATTAAGTAAAGTAAAAGGTCCCTTGTTCATGCCTTTAGGCCTATAGGGCATGTAGGGCTAGACCTATATTTTATAGACCAATCGGCACAAGATGGGTGATGTGGTCAGCATCACGCCGGCCGCCTTTACTACTTGGACCGCACCCAGTAACCACTGAAAGCTGGGTCAACCTGGGAGCTAATGTCATTTTTGAAAAAAGCCTGGCTCAGCCAGGAAGTGAGGGATAGCTGTGTTACCAATGCACTAAGAGCAGGTTACATTTTTTTTTTTTTTTACGTATCCAGAAACCATGAGTTGTAAACCCTTTGGCTCGGTACTATGGATATCGCAACCCTTCGGCCTTGATTCCATTATAGGTACCGTTAATCTGGGAGAAATGTGGCTTTTCTGCCTACCCCCGGGAGTGAACCCGGACCACAAGGAGTTCGTCACCCGGCCGCTGCGAACATCAGGTTTAACCAACTTCGCTAGAGAGCCGGGCAGCAGGTTACATAGACAAGAAAGCTATATGAGGAAAGTTTTATTGTTCTGCAGGTAATGGAGCCATAATAAATGCAGGCGGGAATTCGGTATTTGGAGAGTTATAAATTTGAATAAATGTAGAATTCTGTACGTAAATAAATGTTGATTTCTGTATCTGGAAAAATTAACTCCAGGTTCATTTTTAAAGCAAAAGTTAATACAAGACTGTGTCTTATTTTTGACTCATGTCAATGTTACTACAATCAAACGTACAAGAATTCAAACACAAAGGAAGCATATTTACAGAAGATGACAGGCTTGACATAGAAAGAAGTTAGACTCCAAAAGACTAATGCACTTATCTGTTAGCCCCACTGCTTAAACACACAAATGTCCCCCTTTCAACGGAACAACAAATGATTAATTCCATCTTTATCCCAACTTTGTGCTGTCATTGCCAAACATGGACAACGAGTAGATCACAGGAACAGAAAATAACTACCTGTGAAATGTGCTGTCTCTAAAATGTCACAAACAGCATAAGAATGAACCAGATCACAAATACTAGCATAAGAGAAAAGGTTGGAGTAAGTTTGTTGCTGAATTACATTGAAAGACAGAGAATAAAGATCTTGCCATCTAGTAAGGAGACAAACAATATGTGAGACATGTTACAGCAAAACATTTGGGTGAAAGGCAAAATGAAGACCAGGAAAGAGATGGATAGCCGGTGTGGCTGAATCCTGCAGAAAAAAAAAGATGAACAAAACCATCACTCAAGTCATTCAAAAAGTGTAATACAAATACAGAAAACCACAACACTGGGCTACAATCTTGTTACAGTGTGACGACAAAAGAAGAAGAGGATTCAGTTACTTATTCACCCAGCCAGCCAGTAGGTTATTCAGCTATTCAGGCAGACAGCAATTCAGTCAGTCATTCACTCATTACATCTAGACACTGTTCCTACCTCCACAGCCTCCTTCATGTCAAACTTCTGAATAGAAGATGTCACACTGTCATCTTCACTCTCCTCTCCACTAGGGCCATCCTGTTGTCTCCTCAATGCCTTAACCACTGAGTCTTTGTACACCTCCTGCACACAAACACCATTCACTGTGAGCAAAGCCACTGTACTCTAGACAATCAGTAAGTGTTCAGTCTTTCAAAACAGACATTAGAAGATCCCTTGGCAAAGCTGTTTACCTTGTGCTCTGAATGTTGGGAGTTTAATTTTGATCTCTGGTTCAGGGTAGAGGTGTTTGGGAGATCCTTGAGGAGCTTAAGCACTCTTTTCACTGTTCACAAAATGTTTAAAAAATGCCAAAAATCTTTTCCCATGCCTTTGGCACAAAAGCATAATAGTCCTAGATCTATATCTTCAATTACCAACTGGCACCTAAAGGGGATATTATGCCAGCTGCCTTTACTTCCCAGGTACCCATTTTGGGCGGGTCAACCAAGGAGCCAAGGTCAGTTTTTGCCTCAACACAGATTGGAACCAAAGGGTTTGGGGCCAGCAGGTTGGCCTCTATCCGCTATGCCACCATGGCTTCCTAAATGGTTATGTTGACTGTATGTAAATCAATGGTTCAATCCTATTTATAGTTCCCCAAAAAAACAAAAATTAAACTTTTACCAGCTGGATTGTTGTTGTTGGTGTTTGTGCATTGGAAGACTGTTAGCTTTAACTTTTAAGGTCAATACATTCAGCTAATCTGAGCCATGAAAAGCCTTGAAAAGCCTTGTAAAGGATTTGCATCAATGAGAATAAGTTAGTGTAAAGATGTTTCTCTCAACCAGAAACCAAATGTATTCTCCACTTGAATCGAGCTGCAGGACTCTGCTTTCCACCACCAAGCACATATTCTTGTTGAGTGTCAAAGCTAAACTCGTGATTCAGCCTGGCTCATACAAGCTGGCTGTAATTGTGCAGCTGGGACTGGTCATGTTTTAGGCCTTTGCCATCAGCAGACTCCAGCCCAGTTTCGAATCCGCATCGAGACAGCTTCAACAATCAGCTTCTCCTTCACAGAATGTCACTTTCATCACGGCCAGCCTAAAAGTCACTCTTTCTTTAAGAATTGTTCATCAAGACCTACTCCCAGATTGACCCAGCCCAAAATGAGTTCCAAGTCTGTCCTGAGAAGTAATTGCGGATGGCATGATGATGACCAAATCACCCACCAAGTGTCATATAGTTGATAAAAAGAAGAATTTAGTGTTAAAGATGAAAGTCGAGAGGATCGATTTCATTGCACCCAGTTTTATCCCATATGGCTCAGTCTCTCTCCGCAGAATGGCTAGGCGCCTGCTGGGAACATTGCACAGGGCATCAATTCCGAAGCTCTGGCTATGATCCCCAGGAATCTTGGTAAAAATTGTACTTGTGAACTGAATGCTGCAGCTGTGAAATGAACCCATGACCTTCAGAGCGCGAGGCAAAGGGCTTGACCACTTTACTATGGAGAGATTAGTGTCATATGCCCGATGTGCCACTGATGTAACAGGATCCTTTACTTACTAAAGTTCGTGGAAGTAAAGGTGGTTGGCATGACGCTGACCACATCATCCATCAAGTGAAGATTGTACAAACAATATGAGTCTTGCATAACAATAATAATAACCTAATTTAAAAAAAAAACAATAACAACAATAACAGCAGCAGCATTTAAAAAAAAAAGAGGAGCAACAGAAGAATATAAATAACTATCCAAAATAAAACTGTACCTCTTGTTTCTTCAGTGCGTAATGTACAGCACTTTTCACCAACAAATCGGTGATGACCTCTTGCTGGGACAGGCGGTCAAGGTCAGCATACATGACCTCTCTCTGAACTTTGTCCTTGGTCTTGATGACATGAATATTTTGCAGTTTATCAGATTTTGGAAGTTTAAGGTTTCTGTCTAAAGGTTCACCATTCTCATTTTCTGAAATTATCCAAGGTCAAGTGAGTATATATAATGAAATTCCAGGCAGACTTGAAGCACACATTAAGTTAGAAGTTGTACTGCACACAATGGAAATTAAAAGTTAGAACTGTACAGTACACAATGACAATATCAAGTTAGAAAATGTATTGTACACCATAAGACTATCCATATAGAAGTTGTACTGTACATGGTGATATTTCAAGTTAGAAGCTGTACTGTACATAAGCAGAATTAAAGGTTAGAAACTATACTGACACAATGACAGTATCAAGTTAGAAGCTCTACTGTGCATAATCAAAATTAAAGGTTAGAAACTATACTGACACAATGACAGTATCAAGTTAGAAGCTCTACTGTGCATAATCAAAATTAAAGGTTAGAAACTGTACTGACACAATGACAGTATCAAGTTAGAAGCTCTACTGTGCATAATCAAAATTAAAGGTTAGAAACTTTACTGACACAATGACAATATCAAGTTAGAAGCTCTACTGTGCATAGTCAAAATTAAAGGTTAGAAACTGTACTGTACACAATGACAATATCAAGTTAGAGGCTCTACTGTGCATAGTCAAAATTAAAGGTTAGAAACTGTACTGACACAATGACAGTATCAAGTTAGAAGCTCTACTGTGCATAGTCAAAATTAAAGGTTAGAAACTGTACTGACACAATGACAGTATCAAGTTAGAAGCTCTACTGTGCATAGTCAAAATTTAAGGTTAGAAACTGTACTGACACAATGACAGTATCAAGTTAGAAGCTCTACTGTGCACAATCAAAATTTAAGGTTAGAAACTGTACTGACACAATGACAATATCAAGTTAGAGGCTTTACTGTGCATAGTCAAAATTAAAGGTTAGAAACTGTACTGACACAATGACAGTATCAAGTTAGAAGCTCTACTGTGCATAGTCAAAATTTAAGGTTAGAAACTGTACTGTACACAATGACAGTATCAAGTTAGAAGCTCTACTGTGCATAATCAAAATTTAAGGTTAGAAACTGTACTGTACCTAATGACAGTATCAAGTTAGAAGCTCTACTGTGCACAATCAAAATTAAAGGTTAGAAACTGTACTGTACACAATGACAATATCAAGTTAGAAGCTCTACTGTGCATAATCAAAATTAAAGGTTAGAAACTGTACTGTACACAATGACAGTATCAAGTTAGAAGCTCTACTGTGCATAGTCAAAATTAAAGGTTAGAAACTGTACTGTACACAATGACAGTATCGAGTTAGAAACTGTACTGTACATGATCAGAATTAAAGCTTAGAAACTATACTGTACACTACTTGTCTGGGTTCCAGGACTCCATTATGGGGAGAAAAGGATTAAACTTGCTGCCTTCCTAACAAACATGTTATGTGAGTTGACTAATTAGGGGTTTCCTTCAAAGTCAGAGTGTGTCTGCCTGAGAAGCAAGGAAACAACAGTCTGTGTACAAAAAAAGGTAGATCTTTAAAACGGATATGCATGCAAACTCAAGTTCTGGAACCAGACTGAAGTTCAGAGGTGGATGAACAACTAGAACATTCTTCCGGAGTTTACAGTGGGCGAACACGAAGAAGAAGAAATGCTGTACACAGTGAGATATAAAATTAGAAGTTGTTCAGTAAACAGTGAGAATGTCAAGCTAGAAGTTTACTGTACACAACAAGAATTTAAAGTTAGAAACAATATTTTAAACAGTGTGTTCACAACTACATAAGTTGTACTGCAGGTAACAAAAAGTCTCACCAAATTCTTGAGTCGGCGTACTATAGAAAGTGTACCCTGACAGGCTGCCAGGGAACATCAGCATGTTCTTCATTAACTTGTAAGGCTCTGGCATGCGGGAGAGATCATCGTAGACCAACTTTCGTCTAAGCCCAGGCAGTGAGAGGCTGTACAGGGACTTCTCTGTGAGGTAACCTGGATGATTTTCCAGCCAAACTAATCATTAGACACTAAATAAAATTTAAAATACCTCAATCAGGAAACAAAATTAGACTCAAAAAATCTATTTTAAAAAAAAACAGAAAGAAAGATTACTATGTCCTTTTGATTTTCAAAATGAAACTTGTTACTCCTTTATGCATCAGCAGGGCTTTACTTTACCCAAAAAATACATCACTGGTATGCTGTTTTTGTTTACAAATCATCATCATCATCATAAACCACTTCTGCCGTTGAGCGTCGTGGGGAGGAATAATTTGCGATCCAGTGCAAGTTGGCTGCCACTGGCTATTGTCATGCCGTGGAGGCAAGAGTGTCCTTAATGTTGTCGATCCATTTTTCCTTGGCTGTCCTCTTGCTCTTGTAGCTGATCTTCTGAGATGTAGTGCTTGTGATGGTATTTGATCTTGCTGCATTCTAACGAGATGGCTTAATCACTTGATATGCTGTTTCTCGATGAATCTAGTACAAGGTGTCATTCCCACAGTTTGCCTGATAGTTTAATTATTAACGCGATCTTGGATGGTTAGTTTGGCTGCTTTTCTCAGGCACCTCATCTCGCAGGTGGTGATTTTGAGTATATGGGCTTTAGAATGTGTCCATGTTTGGCACTGGTAGCCTAATGTTGGAATGAATATGCTGTTAATAATCTGTCTCTTTGCACTCATAGTTATGCTTGGATGTCTTAATAATGGTGACAATTGGTATATAAGTGCACTTGCTTCCTGACATCTAGTTTCTATTTCTCTGTCAATTCTACCATCTTCCGTGATCATACTTCCTAGATATTTAAACTCCCTAACTTGATTCAGAGTAGAACCATTAAACTGTGTGTGTAGTGGGGCAGGGGTTCTACTAACTTGCATTGTTTCAGTTTTGTTTGCATTTTTCTTCATGTTGTATTTACTGTATGCTGAGTTTAACCTGTTAATGTGATTTTGAAGGGTAGAACAAGCACTGGTCATCAGCAAATAGTAGTTTGTTTTATGTGGGTGAATTGATAACTTCTCCTGATTATAAAGATCTATGTTGTCTGTATCAGAACTTGCTTCTTTAGATATTCTGTCTATATAAATGTTAAATAAAAGTGGGGAGAGCACACATCCCTGTCTCACACCTGTGTTGACTGTGAACATATCTGATATGCCTTCTTGTGTTTTTATTGCACTTTGGCGTGTGTGGTACATGGCTATGATGTTCCGTAGTAACTGCCCCTGTACCCAGTCAGAAGAAGAAGAAAAGTATGGCTGCATCAGGAACAGTCAGACATAGCCAGAAAGAAAGCTTTGACCATCAGTCCACTATATCACTTATTGTTAACTGTACTGTAGCTCAAGATGATACATACTATTTTAGTCATATTAACGGTAAAAAGATTGTGGGGTTTCACTGAAAGGTGAATGGTCATAATTTGTAGACGAAGAATCTCATGTGTAACATCACAACATCAAGCATTAGAATGGAGGTGGGGGCACCAATGACAGCTTCCCTATGGCTTCAATGCAGTACGGCTTGACATGTTGTAATTGTATGGACTCACAGAGCATGCTCTGAAAAACAGAGACTGGTGTAGTATGCACAGAGTGATGTCCACTATGTAATAAGACTCAGATCAAAACCATCTGCACAGGACAATCTGGTGTGAATGGGATCTCTTCACCGGCTATCAAGGAGGTGTCGCAGCATGTGTGGGAATGCTCAAATTCAGTGACATCTGTATGTGATACATTAATTAATTTTAGCGTATTCCTGTCTGTTCAACTCCATATTCAAATAACTCCTGGGCTAAAAATGCCAAGTAACTTTTCCATAGTATTTCTTTATTAGTGTATCAACTGAATTTAATTTGTTATAAAAAAAAGCAGATTAAATGGACTGCTTCTGTGTTTATGCTTCAAATAAGATTGACTGACAGTTTGCCTCTTATGAAGATTTGACTTGGTGGGACTCACAGAATCGCACCCATGCATCTTGAATGCAAATCCAGCAGGACCAGTCCCAGATCCTCTATTTAACCTAGTGTCCAAGCCGGGTAGTTCATAAAATTCAAAAACAAAGCCACAGAATATTTATAGTATCTGTCAGTCTGTTGAGCACACATTTTGATTCATTTTTTTTTCACACTCGACATACTGCTTTATTATACTAACAATCATTAAGATGGCATTTGTCAGTTCGCAATGTTTAAACAAACAGTAACTGGCTGATGGTATGATGGTGATGAGATGCTTCAACTAGAGAACTGAGCACCTGAGATTAGAGTGGTGTTATGATGATGATGAGTTTACAAACAAAATTACAGAATGTAACTTTTGAATAAGGACATGAAACGTCTGAGATCAAAGGTGCTAGGCAGTTTATGGGCTATAGCGAGATTCTCTTTTAGTGAATTACAGATATCTGTATACAATTAACATTATCCTCTCTCTCTCACACACACACACACACACACACAAGCGCATACACACACACATGTGCACATAAACCTACACAATTTTTCTTTTATCACAAGTTCACTGCAGTTACCTAGCTTTTTAAAGTAGTAGAGTAATTTTCATTTAATGGTTGCAAAAAATATTTTCAAAGGTTAAAAAAAATAAGAATTTTATAAAAGTCATATTGGGCACATGATGATGTATCATATTTTCATAGACTTATCAGATAAGTAATATTGTCAAAATTATATCAGCCACCTTTACTTCCCATGACATTTCTAGGCACTCATTTTAGGTTGAGTCAACCCCTCCCCCCTCTTCACACGCACACACACATAAAAAATCAATCACAATGTGGATTCGAACTCATGACTTTAAAGCTGACAGGTGAGCATTTATCCACTTAACTACCATGGTTCCCCAGCCACACTAATGCACACGACTTATACACTGTTTCCCACTCACCATGTTTTATAACATTTTCAAAAACAGCATCGTCCCAAGTTCGCGCCCACGTGGACAGGTAACGTTTAGCAGAAAACCCAGGTCGAAATTGTCGCTCAAAGGTTCCTCTGTGAGCATGTACAAACTTGAGGTAAATTCTCTCACTCAGGTGTCCCTGTTATTTTTTCAAGACACAATGATTATAATTGTAATTATTCAAAATACGACTGTCTTCTTATTTTTCGCTGTTCAAGAAATGTCTATTATTTAATGTATATAGCTCGTGGAGAAGAGAACTAGAGACAGAGATGTTTAGGATGGGGCGGACATGGAGGAAGCTGCAGGAGATAGCAACAACAACAACAACAAAAACACTCTACCTCACAGATGAGGGCCTATTTTCCAATGGGTATCAAATGGAGATGATGAACAAGAAGAAAGTTGATGTATCTGAGATAGTTACAGACACACATTTGAGATGATAAACAAGAAGAAAGTTGATGTATCTGAGATAGTTACAGACAAACATATGAGATGATGAACAAGAAGAAAGTTGATGGATCTGAGATAGTTACAGACACACATATGAGATGACGAACAAGAAGAAAGTTGATGTATCTGAGATAGTTACAGACATACATTTGAGATGATGAACAAGAAGAAAATTGATGTATCTGAGATAGTTACAGACATACATTTGAGATGACGAACAAGAAGAAAGTTGATGTATCTGAGATAGTTACAGACATACATTTGAGATGACGAACAAGAAGAAAGTTGATGTATCTGAGATAGTTACAGACACACATTTGAGATGACGAACAAGAAGAAAATTGATGTATCTGAGATAGTTACAGACACACATTTGAGATGACGAACAAGAAGAAAGTTGATGTATCTGAGATAGTTACAGACATACATTTGAGATGATGAACAAGAAGAAAGTTGATGTATCTGAGTTAGTTACAGACACACATTTGAGATGAGATTTTTTATTTTTAATGCCGTGGGAGAAAAAGAAGAAGAGACAGTCACGAACAAAGAATTAAGAACAATGGTAGATACAGTACCAGAAAACAATAGTAGATACAGTACCAGAAAACAAAAGTAGATACAGTATCAGAAAACAATAGTAGATACAGTAATAGAAAACAATAGTAGATACAGTACCAGAAAACAATGGTAGATACAGTACCAGAAAACAATGGTAGATACAGTACCAGAAAACAGTGGTAGATACAGTACCAGAAAACAATAGTAGATACAGTACCAGAAAACAATAGTAGATACAGTACCAGAAAACAGTGGTAGATACAGTACCAGAAAACAATAGTAGATACAGTAACAGAAAACAATAGTAGATACAGTACCAGAAAACAATAGTAGATACAGTACCAGAAAACAATAGTAGATACAGTACCAGAAAACAATAGTAGATACAGTACCAGAAAACAATAGTAGATACAGTACCAGAAAACAATAGTAGATACAGTACCAGAAAACAATAGTAGATACAGTACCAGAAAACAATAGTAGATACAGTACCAGAAAACAATAGTAGATACAGTACCAGAAAACAATGGTAGATACAGTACCAGAAAACAATAGTAGATACAGTACAGGAAAATGATTACATAGAATGTCGAAGAATCAAATGGTTTGGTCATCTGGTCAGAATGGAACAAAATCAGCCAGCAGCTAGTGCGTTCTACATGAGAACAGCAGGCTTCAGTGCAAGAGGCTTACCATGAAAAAGAAAGGAAAGGGAGTGGGATGGGGGAAGGGTTGGGGGGGGGGGGCGCGGCAGGGGTAAATGAGACACTACAGAAATGCAATATGACATTAACACAAGCTATGCAGCTAACAAAAGGACCACCGACCGACCCACCAACAAATCCACCTAGCCACCCACTGACCCATCCACCCACCCATCTACACACACATGCATGTATGCACACACACACACACACAAGTGAAGAAGTGATGCACATAGAATTTTCTGGGAATGAAAGATGAGCACAAAAAGAAATCTCAACCCAACCCCATATGTCAAGGCTAGAATATGTGAGGAATTACCACTTCAAATCCCAATGACAGTTTCTGGAATGAAGCAACCTTTACCCATTAGAGCATCCTTGACAACATCACCCAAAATTGGTGCCAGGAAATTTGCTGGAAATTAAAGATGGCCAGCAAAATGTTGACTATATCACCGCCTGACTGCCAGCCAGTCAATACAAATATGAATCTGGTATCATATGCCTGATATGGCCACTGGCATTTAGAGGGTCCTTTATTGTTACTGGATTTACTTCCTTGAGGAAGTGTTTACCTAGGTGGCGTCAGAGCTTAGTCGACAACCAATAAAACATGTTACAATACTGAAAGGTATACTCAACTGTCTGTTCTACCACACTGATTTATAAACTATTTTCATGAATATTTACAAACATTATCTGACATTGCAAGGAAAATACTGATATTCTACAGCATGGCAATTCAACTATGTTGAACATTTTTTATAAACCAAAATGTTGAATTGGGGGGGGGGGGGGGGGGGAGGGCTACAACCCCAGCACAGAACAATCATTATTAAAATATAACTGGCATTAAAGTTGAAGTTAAAGTTAAGAGGATTGACTTATTGCACCGGGTTTTATCCCACATGGCTCGGTCTCTCTTCACAGAACAGCTAGCCGCCTGCCCAGAGTGCCGCACAGAGCACTCTCTGTAAAAATTGCACTCATGAATTGAATGGTGTAACCATGAAACTAAGCCACGACCTTTATAGTGCAGGGCAAATGGCTTGACCACTTCGTCATGGAGACTCTTGGAGACAACTGCCAATGATCCATAGACCACTTGTTAGGCATCTGCAAATTGGTTTCGGCGTGTGGTCGCCGGCTAAATAGTCCTGTTCGGCAGGATCCAAATATAAAGAGAAAAATGTGTCATTTACAGTACTGTGGCTTGGAAACAGAAATACACTGACCATATTAAATGCCATAATGATTTGGAAAGAACAGCAATGGAGAGTATGGTTCTTGGAAGAAGAGACTAATTCAACTAGTACAGTTATGGACACAAAATATCAAAGACATCCTGGTCATGAGCGTTCATGAGGCAGGAAATCTTCTTCTACTTCACATTCACCGGCTGTAAACAACAGTGGAAAGTTCTGATTGCTCATCCACTCCAGTACTTCAGCTTTGCTAAAGAACTTGAGTTTTGTGTACACATCCATTTTACAAATCTGGCTTATTTATATGCAGAGTGCTGGTTCCTCGCCTCTCAGGCAGAGGCATGCTCCCATTTACAACATGCTTGTTAGGGAGGCAGTGGGTGTATTCCCCCCCCCCCCCCCCCCACCAAACCCCAAATGGAGCCTAGAACCCCCACGGAGATAGGCAAGAGAGTTGGTAAGAGACAGCGTGGCTTTTCAGAGTACAGTGATGACAGCAAAAATCTGCCCCTGACCTGCTACATGATAATGATGATCCAACATTCTACATCACATTCACTACATTTAGAGAGAACAAGAAGTAAGCTTACCTGGCCTCCATATTTTAAAATAGAATTTGCCAGATCTTCAACAGTCTTTAAGCATATCTAAAAATATATTTAAAAAAAAAAAAAAAGTTTCTGGAACTGCTAAATCATTTTTAGTTTTCAGTCAAGAATCACTTTCAATACAACATATCTGTATACGTATTTCAGTTTTCTCAAACTGATTGCACAAAGATATCTTTGAATGGTGCATGGTCTTTGTAGCTCAGACAAAGATACAAATACAATAACACTTGATAAAACTATTTCTTTTTAGGCATTTTGTTCTGATTTTAAAATTTAGCCTAGCCAGTTGGTTTACCTGATGGCAAAGGTGCTGTAACCTGGAGGCTCAGACCTTTAAGATCCCCCCCCCCCCCCACCACCAGCCCACAACCCCAAAAAGGGACCTAGAACCCACAGGGTCATGGAAAGGAAGACAGACTGAAATCATTTGGAAAAAGGAACTAGAGAATGACACCGAGATGGAGAGGAAATGGATCTTTTCTTTATGTCCATGTCAAATCTTTTACCAGGTGTCACAGTGTAGTCTCGATTTTAAAAATAATCGACCAGTTCAAGTTTTACTCAATGCTATTTGTACAGGAAGTTGTTGTGGTATAGAGGCTATATGCTTGCCTGTCTGTCTGAAGGTCTTGGGTTCAAATCTGCATCGAGTCAGGTGTTTTTAAAAAAACTGACCTTGGCTTCCAGGTCAACTCAGCATAAAATGGCTACCAGGTAATATCATGGGAAGTAAAGGCGGCAAGTGAGATGCTGACCACATCACCCCTCACATACAGACTGGTCCAAAAAGATAGTCTAGCACTAAATTCTCTCTTCACCAGTGGTGCAGAATGAGTTCTTCACTTTTATGTTTAACTGTTCCCCATGTGGCTTCATGGCCCTATGATGGGAAAAAACAAGAATAGACACACTGTCTCTCCAACAAGAATGGCGTGGGAGTCATCTAATTGGGGGAATCCTTCGAAGTCAGAGTACTGAGAGGCAAGGAACCAAATGTTTGTGTACAAAAAAGCAGGATGTGTGAAGCAGATGTGCACAAAAACATTAAGCTTCTAGAAAAAGTCTAAAGTCAGGGGGGGGGGGGGGGGGGGGAGCATCCAGAACTTTCTGTCAGAGTTTACAGTCAGTGAACATAAAGAAAAAGAAGAAGTTTACTTGTTACTATATGTATAGCATACTGGAATTTATATCATCACAACGCTATAACATTGTGTGTTGTTGGGTCACCAGCTACTCTTGACTGACTGATGAGTTCCCTCCGCCTTTGTCGATCAGATGCAATGGACTTCATATTTGCATGTATGAAAAACGTCCAGTCAGCCAAGTTAGGTATAAAGGTTTTTCTTGGTCCGGTCTGCCTCTTCCCTTTACCCAGCCCTGTAGTACTGTCTTGGAGAGGCCGGTATATTTTATTGCATGTCCATATCATTGTGTTTTCTGTTTTTCACTGTTTTAAAAGGGGTTTATAATTGCCAGTGTGCTGAGTAATAATATGGTGAGCTTTGTCATTTATGACGTAATCTCTGTGTGATACACCAAGAATTTTGTTAAAGGATCTTACTTCCAGTGCTTGTATTTCGCTTTCAAGGTTGGATGTCAGGGTCAACATTTCATATATGAAAGTAAAGATACTGATATATAGTTCATGTCTAGTGTTCTTCTTCTTTTGTAGTCTCACTGACACCAGGTTGTAGCCCAATGTCATGGTTTTCTGTATTTGTCCTGTGCTTCTTGGGTGGCATGGGCGATGGATTTCTTCATCTTTTTTGCAGGTTTCTGCTACACCATTTATCCATCACTTTCTTGAACTTCATGTCACCTTACTCCCAAATGTTCTGCTGTAAAAAGTGCATTCTAAGCAGCATTATTTCAGTTTTACATTAGATGTCTTTGGAATTCATGCATTCTTGAAAACTAAAATACATTCAGTGTTCTTAATCTTTAATGATAATCTTTTCTCCCTCTCTCCCAGCATCTTGTTTGTAGATCACTTTCAGACTACCTCCTAAAACCATGTCATTGGTGCCTCTCAAAATATTTTTAACTTGGCCTCCAACTGTAACTCTCTTAAGATGTTCGATGTTTGCGAGTATTTTGTTACAGTAAACATTGGTTATGATCATGTGACAAAATACATGCTTGCCTAATAGCTCTTTTATCTGCTATTTATTCATTATGTTCTTTGTTTTTGATTGCTCGCTCTTGTTGATGCTGAAGACTCTTTATTGTTCTGATATTATTTCTCACCTAAATGTAATCATGCTGTCATCTGTGAACAAATTTACATTTGTGACTGTTCATAATCTTATTCTTAGGAAGATAATCTGGCTGCTGCTCCTTGGCTTCCACATCTGCATAAGAAATTAATTTGTTATAAATACTCCACTGTGTGGCGTGTTTTTTTTTTTTTTTTTAAATCTTTACTTTTGCTATGGCAGCAGTCAATTACAGCCTACCCATTGGAATTTATGACAGCACTTATATCTTTTTGGTCTTTATCTCAAGAAGTTAGGCATCTAATCTACTACTACTACCTCGGGATTAGGGGAAGGGAGGTGGGTGGGGGGGAGGTGAGAGGTGGGAAAGGTAATAGGGAGCAAACTGTATATCTAATTGCATGGTACAGTCTCTATACCAAAGAAATTTATAATAATTACCTGAGAATGTAAGTTCTTCTGAGAGTTATTTGCTCCTAGCTGGTCAGCATCTGTGTATCTCTGAGCCAAGTCTTCAGAGAACAGAAGCAAGGCTCCCTTTCTTGTACTGTATGTCTTCGGAACTCGCAACTTCTGAACCGTCTTTGTGCGATGAGTTGTCTGACTGTCGATGATGGATGCTGAATAATTTGGCTGAAGTGACGAGGGACAGTACTGATCATCTTGAGTGGAGAAGTTCAAGTAATCCTGGGAAGGCAGAGGAAGACTGTGATTTTTTATTTTCTTACTTAATTAATTGACTGATTAACTCATCAAAGCTCTAAGATCAACATTAACTCTATGGGTACCAACTAAATTATCGCATATCTTCTTCTTGACATTCATCTGCTGTAAATTTTGGTGGACTGTCATCACTGTTCATCGACTCCTGGAAGTAGGCTTCACTTTACTTAATTTTTTTTTTAGAAGACTTGATCGATTTAAAGCAGCTACTAACAGCTTTCACAAATAATTGTGATCTATATATTGCAACCATTTTTAAAATATTGCTTTTTGTAATTCAAATGGGTGTTTTTATAGAAAATCATGTTATATGGTGCTTCCTAAATATTTTTTTTTTTTCAAAGTGGACTTTGGTCTTGTTCCAAAACTTGAGTTTTGCATGCACACTCATTTTACACATCTAGCTTTTTTGTGTGCAGAGTATTTGTTCCTTGCCTCTCTGACAGATACTCTGACTTTAAAGAAAACACCTCTGATTAGTGGCCTTTTACAACATACTTATTGCGGAAAAGGGGGGGGGGGCGACAATGAGTCTATTCTTTTTTTTCCTCTCTCCTAAAATGGGCCCCGAAGCCCACATGGGGAAATTGCAAGACAACATATAGTGGTACTTCGAGTCACAAACCCCCATAAATACGATATCTGAACAAATTTTAACTGAATCCGCGAACAGTGCCTCGGTGCACAAACATGTATGGTGAGGTGTTTGGTACTGAAAGAGTTGAAGTGGCCAATAAATGACAACTGCTCTCTCAAATCATTTATAGTACCCATATTTTATGTCCACTGATTTTTCAGCAATCTGTAGAGCTACATCTCAGATTTGTCATAGGATTTTTTTTTTTGTTTCTTCACTAACTGTTTGGTGGTGCCAGATATATATAATTCTCTAGCTATCTACAATCACAGAAAGATTCTATATTAACCCTTTGTATCTTAATTACTGATGTAACTACTTCTGTCCAAGACTGCCTCTGTTGGACACCTTCAGACATAAGTGTTTACTACTGTTAAGCTGAACTCCATGAGACATTAGGAGTGGAAATGAAAAAGTCAGGACAAGAGAAAGACTTGAATATATGGCAACATTAAAGAAACAGACTAATATATTTATAATGTATACTGTACACAACAGATTCTGCAGCCATATGTAAAAGAAATTCCAGATTTAGGATTCAGATCTTTGCTCCTGTGGACAAGTACCACAGAATACCAGGCATGTGCTACAGACATGCTCTCCACATGTAGTAGAGGGATACCAGGTGTTGCTGTGTGGTATTCCAATGGAAACCAAGCCAGTAGAACAGTCAAAAATATGCGGTGTACTACAAACTTCATAGAGGCCTGAAAAGTACCAGTGGCAGGGAGAATGAAAAGAAAAAAAAAAGATGCTGACAACTGAATAGATTCATGAAAAGAGTCAGTGACAGATCAAACTCATCTGGATTGTGTCAGCTGGTTTGTGTAAATGCTTGGAGATTATCACTGCCGCCACAGATCTCATGCAGTAAGTGACACTCTAAGCAAAAAACCAACTGTTCAGCCTGAAGACATTCAACCACATGATATAAAATCTCATCCTCCAATGAATGTAAAATTGTGACAACAGAGATGAATACAAAATCACGAAATCAGACGAATGCTAGGAATAAAGCCAGTCATCAAAGAACAACAAATGAAGTGGTTTGGACACCTAACAAGAATGCCCTGGTACATTCTGCCACAGCGAGCCACACTAAAACTTTACAACGGGTATAGAGCGAGTGGAAGACCTTGGAAAATATGGAGTGATGGCATTAAGAACAGCCTTACAGAAATGAACATGTCTTAATAGTGCTCTCGACAGAGCTTATCAATGAACATCTTCCCCCGACACTTCGATGAGGTACAAGGTGGAAGAGAAGAAGAAGAAAAAGAAAAAAAATCTACAGTAACAAAACATCTTCTTGCCCTGATTATATTTTTATAAGACAAGGAAAAGTATGACTGCCAATGCCAGTCATCAAAGCACTTGATGATGATAACTATAATGATAATAAATAAAAAATTTAATGAATGAAAATCAGCTAATAATAATTTAAGAATTAATGTTAAATAAACATCTCAAAACTTGAGTGAAAAAAACTTCAAAAATTTATTTATTATAAAGTTCATTAAAAATCTTCCTATTCTGGAGGAAAATGAGACAAAATTGCTGTAATTTTATTCATTTTAAAATCTGGATGTTAAAAGTAAAAACAATAAACACACGCACACACACACACATACACGCACAAATAAACACTTTAGAACAACAAAACAAATTTACAATATTAAAGTCTTACTTCTGGCTCCAGGTAGACATCGACTTTTTCGTGTCCGTTTGTATGAACCTCTCCAACTCCTCGGCTCAGGAGCGATAAGTTCAGAGTTCCTCCAGACATTGTGAACACACTAAAATATAGCAACGCTTACCACTTTAATTATCCAGGAAGTTTAAGTTTGTCATTACAGTTGACCACACACTTTGCATTACTATGATTCGCCCAGTCATGATATATTATTGTATTTACATAGTAATAACACAGCATAATTAAATGTACAAAATATTAAACATAACTTTATTTAAAAACAAAACTTTTAACAGTAAATTCAGTTCAATTATCATTACTCAATAACTGATATGTAAACACAATTATTAGGCCTAAACATTCCCGTCATATAATTCGTATTTCTCTAAATTATATTTCCTTAAATTATTATCAGCATTATTCAACGTAAAAATAACAAACCCTAAACACAAAAACTGTACAAAGGGAGGTCGGCCGCCATGATGTTGACACTAGCGACAATTAAACGGTGCTTGGTTACAGAGTGTGCAAATCTTTCCCGACCGTTATCACAATTGAGGTCATTTCGTCCCCCCACCTCAAAGATTACTTGTCTGAGAGATTACCCACCAGTATCTCAGACAGCCGATATTGGGATTAGAATCCAAAACAGTCAAGTGTCGGAAACGCCGTACAACTGTATCATCATCAAGTGCCTTGCCGACTGGCGTGAGCGATCATGCCTCTCCACAGTCTGCGATCCGCAACTGTGTGCATCAGTTCGTATGTTGACATCTATTCATGCCATTACAGAAGACTGTCAAGAATCTTCTCACGCTGTCTTCCTCTGTCTCTCTTTCCACATATCTTTCCAGTGGTCACAGCATGTACCATTTTCCCTTTTTTTTTTCATAACATGACCAAGAGATGACCGTTTCTTTCTGATGTTTGTGATGAGTTGTCTTCGAGCACTCCCCTCTGTCAAAACATCTGGGCTACTCTTCTTAGCTATCTAACGAAATTTAAGGATTCTTCTGGAAAACCACATCTCCAAGGCCTCGACATATTGTTTGGCTTGTTTATTAATCGCCAGGTTTTACAGTCGTAAATATAACCGGCTCTATTTGGCATGTGAGAATTCTTGTCATAAACTCCAATGCCATGGATTTACTGCACACAATGAACTTCATTTAATCAAATGCCGTTTTGACATGTCCTATTCTATTCTTTATTTCTGTGATACATCTTCCATCAGATGTTATCCGTGTGCCTAGATACTTACATTTCTATACTTGTGCTTAAATAATGCCTTTGACTTTTGTCCACACATTTTGGCACTATTCTTTTCTTTCAGCTGTATAGCATAGTTATAACTGAGGTTTGCCTTCTGACACAGTCACAACCACTGACACAAAAAGCCACTATTGTCATTAGAATCCAGCTGGGGAAAGTTCCCCAAACACCGTTCAACCGTATTACAAGTTAAACTCGAGAGGATCGAGACCATTGCACCGGGTTTTGTGACATATGATCAGGTGTTTCTCCACATAAAGGCTAGCCGTTTGCCAAGAGCGTGACACAAAATATGAACTTCGTGGCTCCGGCGACGATTAAAAATTGCACTCAATAACTGAATGATGCAGTCGAGAAACGAATCCACGACTTTCAGAGCACGAGGCAAACGGCCTTACCACTTCGCCCCTAAGTTGTATTAGGGTAAGCGGTTGCCCATTTTTAATGGGTTAGTTTCAAATGTGAAGAATGAATATGGAAAAAAAATTACTAACATGCAGAGCTCGTGCCAATAGCACTAGCCATAGGGGGCTAAATCCTTAGGCTCACCCGCATCGCAGATGTGACAGGCAGTACTAACAGTTTCTGATAAATGGGGATCGTCACGGACCAGAGCCCGGATCACCAGCGTAGAAAGATCGTTAATACAGTACACTTGGCTGTGAACCGCAAGCCACTGGCTATGCCTCCGCGTGCCTGATTTAGCCGCCTAGCAATAGTTGAATAGCCCTGATCTATAATAACAAACAGTAAGTATGTAACAAAATCATACATACATGCAACAAAACAGATAAACATAGCTGGAGACAGTTTATGTGACTCTCCCCCCCCTCTCCCCCCGTATAAAAAGTTGTATTCGGCTCAAACCAATCTTTCCCTGTGTGGGTTCCGGGGTCCTGTTATTGGAAAAACAAGAATAGACCCACTGCCTACCCAAAAGCATGTCGTAAGAGTCGACAAATTCAGAGCTGCCTTCAAAGTCCGAGTGAATCTGCCTGGGAGGTAAGCAACCAATAGTCTGCATACAAATGAGTCAGATCTGTAAAACAGATGCAGATGCAACACGTTCTAAAACAGGACTGCAGTCAAGAAGTGGATGAACAATCAGAACTTTTCGCCAAAGTGTACAGCTGGTGAACGTGAAGAATTGATGAAGAAGCAAATCTCAGCAATGGTTGGCTGTGTGTAGTTTTACTGGGTACTTTTACATTCAGTAGTTGGCCTATGCTTCCTCAACATTTCACGCTCATACCATTGTCCCATACCATGTTGTCTGCTGCCAAATCTCATGCAACTGAATCGAACCCAATGTTCCGCCTCTCATGGCGTTCAGTAGAAATTCGTCTGCTAATATTCCATGCGAACTTCAAACTTCTGACAAAGATAGAAAGATAGACCACGGGGCTTGGGATATCTCCTACCCCACACTTATAAATAACTGTGTCCTTCTTTTTTAAAGAAAAAATATTATTTTTATTAAAACACGAATGAGCACAGAAAATACTACAGTCCGTTCCAGACGTCGTCCACAACTTAAAAAAATGTGATACTCATAATTTAAAAAAAAAAAGGTAAACAAATATCCAATTGCGATTGTGCCTTTTTTTGTGGTTTATAAAGGGGAAAAAAAAAACTGACATCGGGTCATGCTTACAGTTATTTGAGTAACGGGAACCTTTCAAAACATCAAACAGCACGTGTGGCATAGGCGTTTCACTCTCATGTGGTCATCTTCAGCGTTAGATACATAAACACAATTTTTCATTGTATGGAGATGGCTATCAAAATAATCATAACGCATTGCTGCAAATGTGAATAAATTTCTAAACAATCACAGAAGTTTTAGAGATATTTTTTTAAGTTGGAGGGCAAAACTTTTGAACTGCACTCTAGGCGCCGCTGGGAGTCGCCATGGCAAAGCGACTAGACGCTCGCCGCGGTTTGGAAGGTCGTAGGTTCGCTCCCTGACGGAACCGGACTTTTTTCAAAAATGACCTTGACTCCCAGGTCGACCCAGCCTTGAGTGGGTACCGGGTGCAGTCCCGGGAAGTAAAGGCGGCCGGTGTGATACTGACTACATCACCCATCTTGTGCCGATTGGTATATAAAAATATAGGTCTAGCCCTATATGCCCTATACGCCTAAAGGCGCGGAAAAGGGTCCGTTGCTTTTTTTTTACTAGGTGCTGCTCTGTGACTCAGAGGTTAGTGCATGAGTTTAACAATTTCGTGATCCTCGAGTACTGAGGTTCGAATTAACAAAACCGCTCTCATTATTCTCGGGCGACGTTCTAGAGCCACACTGTGGAGGAGAATGCGGCCAAATCATAGTGGCCAAGAAACTGAGGCCTCGCCACTTGGCTTGAAAAAAAAATGCCGTGGGTACGCTGAAGCCAATCTTCATTGCGGAGAAGGCACACCATTTTTACTTATTTATTAATAGCTAGAAAGTTCACAGACAACAAAGATACACAGAGACAAGTTTATAAACTCCCTGCCTTATGTTTTTCCTACGGCCCCCGCCCACTTAACGTCATCAGGATACAACGAGCAACTGTTGACATGTCGGAGGCCATTAGTCGGGGTTTCAAGTTAATTCGATTAGTTTGTTATTGGAAGCATTGATTGTCATTGATTCTCCATTTCCCGCCTGATAGCTCTTTCCCCATCATCCGCCGGCGGGAATTTCACTCATTAATGACAAAATAACTATCAGCTTGCTGTTTCTGCACGAGCTTTGTGGAGTATGGGTACATGTAAGTTGAAGTTATTTAGAATTTATAGTGGTAATTATTCCCACGTGACACCTCCTGGAAGACATACATTCTGTGTCTATTAAAAACACACTCCGTCCCAAGATGGGATACCTTTGTGAGTGTTTGTGTGTGTGTGGTTAATTTAAAGCCTTACACCGGCTAATGTTGGATGCCCTAAATATAACCTATGAGTTCAACAGGGTTTCAGGGACTAGCACCCTGGTTATTCTTAGCCGAGTGGTGGCACTTTGTATCACCTAGTGTTTATCACTCGTTGTGCGGCCTTGTAGGGTTGAACGTGACTCGGTCACTCACTTTTTTTGTGTGGGTCACCTGTGCTCTTATTTTTTTTCCTCAACGTTGATGTATAAAATACTCTTCCAACTACTACTATTGTTGCTATCACAAACACTACTACTGCTGCTGCTGCTGCTAATACTACTGCTGCTGCTGCTGCTAATACTACTGCTGCTGCTGCTAATACTACTGCTGCTGCTGCTGCTGCTGCTAATACTACTACTGCTGCTGCTAATACTACTACTGCTGCTGCTGCTGCTAATACTACTGCTGCTGCTGCTAATACTACTGCTGCTGCTGCTGCTGCTAATACTACTGCTGCTGCTGCTAATACTACTGCTGCTGCTGCTGCTGCTAATACTACTAGTTAATACTGTACATAACGTGTGTCTGCTGTCTGTCGTGTTTTTCTTAAATCTTCCAAATCTTGTCGTCAGTGATGACTACTAATAGTGTATACGATATCTTTCTGATGTCCAGTCTGTTATCTTAGTACTTCTTCTATTCATTGTTGCCACTGATGCCTATCAAAATTAACGGACTTATATCTTATGCTACCTGTGTGGGTTTGGAGGACCTTTTAAGAAAAAAAAAAAGAAAGAAAAGACATTGTCCTGTATGTCGCAAAATGATACTAATTACAGGTCTTCCATTCGAAGTCGGAGTGCATCTGCTTCGGAGGCCTGGAACCAACAGTCTGAACACAAGTAGGTCAGGTCTGTACAACAGGTGTGCACGCAAAGCTCAGGCTCTTGAATAAGGCTAAAGT